TTCCAGCTCGAGAGACAAGAGGTTGAAGGCGTGGCTGGACTGCCGAAACGAGGTTCGAGTTGAGAGAAGCGGTGTTGTAAATTTGGCGAGAGTGGCACATACCCGTGGGTCAAAACGCTTAGTTGGGTTGAGACAGTTAGAAGAAACAGCTAAGGGAAGCTCGAGGAAGCTATGCTGTGATGCGCTGCGATGCGATTTCGGAGTTTTGGGGGGGGGGGGGGGGGGGGTGGGGGGGGGAGGGGGGGTGGGGGCGGGGGTGGGGGGGGGGCGGAGGCGGGGGGGTGGGGGGGGGGGAGAGGAAAAGGAGGAGAGGGGGGGGGGGGTGTGGGGGGGGGGGTGGGTGTGGGGGGGGGGGGGGGGGGGGGGGGGGGGGGGGGGGGGGGGGTCGATGGAGAGGTCAAGAAAGTCAACGCGGATGCCCGCACGGTTCAATCGTCCTCAAACTGGATGATTTCTAGCTCGAGCTCGCGAAGGAGCAAGGAAAAGCCAGGCACCCGTAGCTGTCTTATTGAGCTACGGAGATTGTATGTTGGCATATCGCATACTTAAGTGCTCCAAGAGTAAAGCGACTTAAGTTGGCATGGAAGAAGTTTTGCAGGTTCTCAGAGATTATGAGGCGACTGGAGTAAGGTAGGCAGGTTTCTCCGTCCTTAGGTAAGGTAGCTAGCTATCTATCATGGGTAATTGTACCTCTGAAAGGATGTGACGACACTTTCATGGACCTTACCTGCTTACCTAAGGTAACTCAAGCTGCTTGCGAAGGTAAGCAACCGTATCATGCGAGCACGGTGGCTGGGCAACTAGGTACCTAGGCCACCTCCTGCACTGATAGGAAACGAACCGCTGGAATTTGCGAAGGGCGGAATGGCGTAGGTATCAGGGTGGGAGGGGTGGCAGAGGGGAGGAATTTCTGTCCCGTCGAAATTTTAGGTAAGCAACCCTCGGCATATGCCGACGGAGACCTTTGCGGGTAACCACCTCAAAGGCAATAGGTATCGAACAAAACCATGCACCGACCTGGTCTAAATCAACATTGATGGGAATGATCGTTGCAAGACAGTTCTATACCGGGTATATATCTAGCTACATAGCGGGGGACTTGTCTGATAGATGACGATACTTTGGATGCTGTCCAGGTTGCGCAGGACGAACGGGAGGGAGCGCTGTGACTGAGATACCTAGGTATAGGTACCTAGGTAGTAGCCCCAGTGGCCCCCGCTGCAATCCCCGCATTACCTCACTTGGTCAGCGCCAGCCACGTATGGGTATCGTAGGTAAGTATGGAATCAATGCTGAGATTGCCTGGGTCAAATTTGCTGGAATGATACGGTTTGACTGGTATCGAGTGGTATGTTTCGCTGTTTTTCTCTTGGAAGCTGTGCAGTCATGCAGCGACAAAGAGGTATCAGAGCCCCAGGGCAGTTTTCGAAGGTCGCTGTTGATTCTTCTGTCAAGATCAAAACCTTCTCAACACGTCTGGCCAATAAACGCTACCTCTCAAGAGAGCCCAGCCCAGTGATGCGGGACTGCCTAGGTGCCTGCCCGCCTTATTTAGGCTACCTTTCGGATAACCAGTGCTGCACCACCTGGTGTACATGCCTCCTCCATACCTACCAGGTTACCTAAGGTATCTTAGGTTTGTACGGATAGTTAAGGTAGGTAGGCATGGTGCCTTAGGTACCTACCTATCTTGCCTCATGAGGTTCAATTGCATGGAACTGTCTGCCACCCCGGCCCCCTTGGCTCAGGTCGTCTTTGTGGAAGTCGCCCGCAGTGGAATCCATTGGCAGCACGCTACCCGCTGTGCCCGCCATGCCCGCCTAACCATAGGAGGAGCCCAGGCGCCAACTTGCGGTACCCGCCCCAACGGAGGAGAAAGCCTCTCTCCCAATTTTTTTTTTCCAATACCACACATTACCTTCCCCCCCACCAAAATAAAGTCAACTGCGCATCTACAACTTCCCACGTTCGGCACCGTTCTCTACCCTGCCATCTCCATCAACCGCAACCTCCCTTCAAGATCAGCCCAGGACTTCTCTGTCCCACGCCTCTTGTGGTTTCACTCTATTATCGAATACGGACGATCAAAAGATTCGAACGCACATAATGGCTGAGCCCATCCGTAACAAGCGCCTTGATCCGGCCACCGCGCCGTAAGTCACAAATCTTGCGGCACTGTTCTTCCCGGTGGCGAGGGGTCGCTTCCTTAGGCTTCCCTTGCCCCATTCCACGACCACCATGGCTGACATCTACTCTTGAGCATACAGTACGCCGCAAAATACCCCCCTTCAAAATGCGCCCATTTCGTCGCATGCCCAGCAGCCTGGCGTCGCCAGCATCAAGGAGGGTATGTACCAAAACCCCCGCTGCAATGTTCAACTCTTGTCTTTCTTGCGCGCACTTTGGGGCCTCACCTCTGGAGACACCCGCCCCTCTATCGACCCGTTACTGACGTGCACCCATTTCACAGAGGATCTCGATCGTGCCGCTGCCGCCTCCATCTTTGCTCAGAATCCCAAGCTCGTCCAGATGATCCAAGGAAGACTTGGTTCTCTCGTTGGCCGATCCTCCGGCTACATCGAGTCGCTGCCTCCCCAGGTGCGTCGCCGTGTTGCCGGCCTCAAAGGCATCCAGAAGGAACACTCTAAGCTTGAGGCCGAATTTCAAGAGGAGGTTCTCCAGCTCGAGAAGAAGTACTTTGCCAAGTTCACTCCTCTCTACGAGAAGCGTGCCAAGGTTGTCAACGGTGCCTCTGAACCTACAGAGGAGGAGATCAAGGCCGGCGAGGAGGATGACGAGGATGATGATGAGGAGGTTGAGGAAGCTGAGAAGACCGAGAAGGCTGCCGAATCCACTGAGCCGGTTTCTGGTATCCCTGAGTTCTGGTTGTCTGCCATGAAGAACCAAATTTCTCTCGCCGAGATGATTACCGATCGCGACGAGGCCGCTCTCAAGCACCTGATCGATATCCGCATGGAATATCTCGACAAGCCCGGTTTCCGCCTTATCTTCGAATTTGCCGACAATGAGTTCTTCACAAACAAGACCGTCACCAAGACGTACTTTTACCAAAGTGAAAGCGGCTACGGCGGTGACTTCATCTACGACCATGCTGAGGGTGATAAGATTGAGTGGAAGGAGGGCAAGGATTTGACTGTCAGAGTCGAGAGCAAGAAGCAGAGAAACAAGAGTAAGCTCTTCACACATACCGCCCATCGCGATGCACCTGCTAATCCCTCTTTCAGACACCAAGCAGACCCGAATTGTCAAGAAGACGGTGCCCACCGAATCCTTCTTCAACTTCTTCTCTCCCCCCCAGGCCCCGGCCGACGAGGATGATGACGCTGCTTCCGACATCGAGGAGCGCCTCGAGCTTGATTACCAACTCGGTGAAGACATCAAGGAGAAGCTCATTCCCCGTGCCATTGACTGGTTCACCGGCGAGGCTTTGGCCTTTGAGGAGCTCGACGATGATGACCTGGAGGGTGACTTCGACGATGAAGACGACGAGGACGAGGATGATCTTAGTGAGGACCGTGACGAGGATGAGGAGTCCGAGGACGACGTAAGTGACGTGTAACCCGAGGATCCTACGATGGCAGACGCTAATCCATACTTCAGGACGACACCGGCAAGCCCAAGCAGGAGGCGGCTGAATGCAAGCAGAGCTGAGCGACGACTATCGGTCGGCCGGATTGCTAGGTTCTTCACGTTCATGACAGACTTCATTAGGGGAGTGCGTGATGGTCATGCTCTGATTCTTTCGCGTCATGAAAGGCGGCGGCGTCACGCTTGGCGCCACGTCAACAAACCCGCTTTGAGGGTTAAGCCAAGCAGAGCAGCATTGAATGGATGAGCTTCTCGCTTGATAGATGGTAATTGACGTTTTGGTCTCAAACATTCTCAACGAAACGGCCACCTTACGTTCTGGTCATGAATGATGCTATACGTCGTTGCTAAAATGGATTTGTAGAAAGGGTGTTCACTCGAATTTTCCTTCATGTAAAACGGGTAGGGGCATTAACAATGGAAGCAATAGACAGGAAATAAGTCACATAAGCAAATCTTCCTATTACTTGCATCTCCAAGGTGGGGTGGGACGGTGCCCGGGCATGTTCCCGCATATGGCTGTGGGTCACTCCAACCCTCAGCTCGCTGGTGTACTGCGCGTAATTTAGAAGGATATAATAAGCATGCTCTCTGGGGCATCATCACTATATCGCAGCAATTGGAGCGCCTGGTCGTATATATAAGTGGCTTGGAAGGCATAGAGGAATCTTATTTCTATTGTCAGGTTGTCGCCCTGGGGCTCAACGGTTGTGACCAATATGGAAGCTCCGTAGAGTGTCGGGGAGTTGAAGGGCGGACGCGGCGGTGCATGCGGACCTCTAGAAGGTCGGAGCGGCCGTTGGACTAACCAGCACTTTATGGAAATGATACGACGAAGCCGCATAGGTCGATGTGCGGTCCGGGATCGGCACTCTGGTCAGGTCAGTGACTTTGGTTAAGGTAGGTAGGCACGCAGGTAGGTAAGGTAAGGTAACAAGAGCAACTATCTTAGTCAAAGCATATCCTACACCAAGTAGAATTTTAATGCGTCGGCCAAATCTTCAAACAAGCCGCGACCCACGCAAAGGAGGTGTCGTGGCCAGTCCCGTCTCATGCTTGTTGTGTGGTGTGCCATCTGCGCCGGCGCCGGAGGAAATTGTTTTTTTTTCCTTCCTCCCTTTCTCTTTTCAACCCACCTGCTGAGGAGCAGTGAGTCAACCCCAGGCCCAGACTGCCCCAGAAGGCAACTCATGCTTGGCTGGAATGAGTAAGGTGGTAAGTTGAGGTAGCCTCTGAGCCTGAAGAGTCGAGTCTACGACCGAGTGCCGGACACCTTGAGGGATGTTGCCGGCCTTCGGGCGTGCTCCGCTGGCAGGTCGGACTTTATTCACTGTGCGAGCCTAAGCAGATGGTTGGAGCCGCGCATGAATTCTTTTCCATTTGGCAGATTTCTACTGTCTACCACCGACCTCCGCACCGTGTAAAGACAGTGCCCACATGCGGCGGGAGAATCCCGGACCACCTGCCCACAACATCGGGGTCTGTCTCGCTGGATCCTTCCCTTTGTGGTGCCCCCCACAGGCGTCCAGCAGACCGCACGTCAATGACCTTACAAAAAGGGCAGCGCGAGGTACCTCAAGCATGCTAAATAATAGTGAAGATACATGCATTGGACTGGAAACAGTCATCGGGTACCACCTTCCACTCCCAAGCTTTGGTATGGTAGGTACCTCATTATTTTACATCAGTCACGGCCCTCCGTCTCACATCCCGCGTCATTTTGGCTACTTGACATGAATGAAGTGATTAAAAAACTTCCTCCTCCCAGAACCATTTCCAAACTTTTACCTCTGCCCATTGCCTTGGTTGACCCTGTTTTCTGCTCATCTAGCAATCTTGTCGTATACCAGTCGGCGCTCTACTTCTCCCTTCGACTTCACACCCAACAACAGCCCAGCAGCTCTTGATCTGGCAGCTTTCGCGTGCTTCTTTCTGCCCCGCATCGAAAAATCGTACTGCCCCTCCATCCCATCCATCTTGCTCACACAGCAAGACCAGTACAACCCACACATAATGAGCTCAGCACAAGACATCACCGGCGCATCTGCGCATGGAAGACAGCTCGAAGTCTCCGCTAGCTTGGGACTTTCAACTTCGCCAACCGCCACTTTCACCTCCCCCCCTTCAAGCTTCGCTAGAGCCGGCACTGCTCTTGCCCAGAGGCCAGCCCCCAAGCTTCTGAAGCCCTTCAACACCCAAGACATCAAGATTTTGCTTCTCGAAAATGTCAATCAAACAGGAAAAGATATCCTGACCGAGCAAGGTTACCAGGTCGAGGCTCTCAAGACCTCTCTCCCCGAAGACCAACTCATTGAGAAGATTCGGTAGGCCTATCCCTTGCCTCGTAGTCTGATGAGGAGAGTGATAGAATGCCTCATACTCATGCAATGTGATCATCCAGGGACGTGCATGTCATTGGTATTCGCTCCAAGACCAAGTTGACCGAGAAGGTCCTGCGTGAGGCCAAGAACCTGCTCGTCATTGGCTGCTTCTGCATCGGCACGAACCAGGTCAACCTCGAATACGCTGCCGCCCACGGTATTGCTGTCTTCAACTCCCCCTTCGCCAATTCGCGCAGTGTTGCAGAGCTCGTTATTGCCGAAATTATCACTCTGGCCCGTCAGCTTGGTGACCGCTCCAACGAGATGCACCGCGGCACCTGGAACAAGGTCAGCTCCAAGTGCTGGGAAATCCGTGGCAAGACGCTCGGTACGTAATCTTGCCATGCCTGACCTCTGTATCGTCAAATGGTGCGGAGGATGCACTATCATTTGCTGACTGTAGATTAGGCATTGTGGGTTATGGCCACATTGGCTCGCAGCTTTCGGTCCTGGCCGAGGCTATGGGCATGAACGTCGTTTACTATGATGTCGTGAACCTGATGGCACTAGGAACCGCGACCCAAGTACCCACCTTAGAAGCCTTGCTCGAGGAGGCCGACTTCGTTACTTTGCACGTGCCTGAGCTGCCAGAGACTAAGAACCTGATCTCTACTGCTCAGCTCGAGAAGATGAAGACTGGCGCTTACTTAATCAACGCCAGTCGCGGCAGCGTTGTCGACATCCAGGCTCTGATTAACGCCATGCGCTCTGGCAAGATCGCTGGTGCTGCTCTTGATGTCTACCCCAACGAGCCGGCGGCCAACGGCGACTACTTTAACAGCTCACTCAACACATGGGGCGAGGATCTGCGTAGCCTGAACAACATCATTTTGACGCCACACATTGGTGGCAGCACCGAGGAGGCCCAGCGCGCTATTGGTGTCGAAGGTAAGGAATACATCCAGGGGTTGCTCAAGCATGAAAACTAACCTCGAATTAGTTGCCGAGGCGCTTGTCCGCTATATCAACCAGGGCACCACGCTCAACAGTGTTAACCTGCCCGAGGTTAACCTGAGATCATTGACTTTGGATGAGCCCGACCACGCTCGTGTAAGCAACCCTTGGCACGACGTGGCCGCTAACAGAAAGCTGATCAAAAAAATCAGGTCATCTATATTCACCGCAATGTTCCCGGTGTCTTGCGCAGAGGTGAGAGAATGCCCATGATTCGTACAATTAGTATACGTGTAGAGTGCTAACGGACGGCAGTTAACGAGATTCTTGGCAACCACAATGTTGACAAGCAGATCTCCGACAGCAGAGGCGACGTGAGTTGCATTGGAAGGCGAGCATGGAATCCGGTCTGCTCCGGTCTGCTAACTTAGCGCTAGATTGCATACCTCATGGCCGATGTGAGCAGCGTCAAGGCCGAGGACATCAAGGAGATCAACGACGGTCTGGATTCTCTGAGCTGTGAGTACAAACCCGGACATGCGGTCGCGAGTTTCAAAGTCACTCACACAAGGATCCAGCACGCATCATGACCCGTGTCTTGTACTAGACGCGCATGTAGAAGCTATGGCATTGGTAAGGCGTTTGTGATGAAGATTCCTGGTTCGTGAAGAAAAACGAAGGTTCTCAGCGGCCCAAGACAGCATCTCAACATGTCGATATGGGATCTGGGCACTTTGGATAAGGGAGTACCGGGTTTCACATCAACTTGAAGGCATATAAAAGCTGGTCGTTACATAAACATGGGCATGGCTGGGAAGGAATCAATATGGTAGAAGTTACAACGAGACAGAACGGAACCAACATTTGCAATTACAGAGCACACGACCCCGTTGCATGGTGCGGACGTTATAACATACATCCATGGCACAAGGTAAGGACAGCCCCTAATACCGACTGTCCCGCCACGGACACTACCTTACTGTGCACGTGCTTGGCTGGTTATGCATACCTACTGCTGCTCAGTGCCTCAGGAAAGCAGATGAACATGGCGGTGAGTATTAGCAATGAGCAGCCTATCAGAAGTGAGAGTTGGCAAAAGGGGCCAGGCTAACTCGGAAATTGTGTTGATGCAGCGGAGCCGAGCCCGGGCCTCAAGTCCACAACGCATGAGCACGCCCCTCTCCGCTTTCCCCCAAATTATAATGGATGAAGAAGATCGATCTCCATTGACAAGAGAGAAAGAGGAGTACATGGTTGACCGCTGACGAGGGAGCAGAAAATGGCTGATACTGGTCAGCTTACGAAAGCCAGTGTCGGATCCTTAGAGCAAAACACAAGGGCTTGGGCAAACGAAACATGTGATCAATCGGGCGGTCACTGCTCTGCCAGCTGCTGGATGCCATGAGCTCGTGAGCCAGTGATGATGGTATGAGCGGTATCCGGCAGGCAGCTTGGACAGCATTGTTTGCATGGAAAATGGCATGACGGGAAATACTGGCACGGTGTGAAATTCCAAGCGGTATGGAGCTGAGTGAAATACGCCCTCTGAATACACAGGTTTGACGGGGAGCAAAGTGGATGGCGAAAGGGGCTGCAGGGGACTTGGGGAGGGTAGGATGGGACCTATGAAGATAACCCAGGCGGCAAGGGCAAGGGCAGGCGTTTGGTGATGGATACAGGCAATTCACTTGTACATATTAAAGGACACTATGCTTCCTAAATGTTGTTGAAATCGGGCATCTTGCACACAACGACATAAAGTCTGGAAAATGAAGCAGCGCTGAGTATGACCATGTCGAAGGATACAAGCGTATATTCGGGCTTGGTTCAGCGTGTGAGAGGGGAGATAGCGTGCGGGTAGAGAGACTGTGTGTGTAAACAATACGGTGCATAGCGCAGAGAAGGATCCACAGGTATTGCCATACGTTAAGATAGGGCGCTAGGACAGCAAGGAAAGGAGACATCACTGTGACTGACAACAACGACGCGTTGGCGAACTGACGGGGTGCGTCTGAGGGTCAGCATGTCTGTGGTTTCCGGCTGGGTAGCTTGGGACGAAAGCTCTCAGCACGCCTTTCCTTGGATTTCCTGGACGCTTTTCAGCCGCCTGGCGCAGACCCGAGAGTGACGGTTGTTTCAACCTTCGTCTTTGTTGGTTGTCAGCCAGCCAGAGTTTGCGGCTCATAAGGCGTCTCGGTGCTTTGATATCTAGGCACTGTACGCTACATCGAGCTGGACTGGCCTATAGGAATTCGAGGGTTCAACTATCGAAGAGATGGAGAGCCAGTAAGGAAAGTGAAACATGACCGAATGGAATGAATGGTGCTGCTGACGACATTGTTATCTCATCAATCCCTTCAAGCTACCTGCAATGGTGCCTATATGGTCTCATGCCAGAATACCTCCAATACCAACCATGGTGCGAACTCGGGGTGCTCAGTGCAGAAAGCCTCTTCGACTTTTCTTGGCTGTCACCAATGAAGGAGCCGAATGTCACGAAAGGCAGCTAGAAGCTGGCCGGAGTAGGAGCCTGCTTTGGGTTGACTTATCAATTTGGTCGGATGCTTTAAACTACCTCACGGATGCCACCAAGACAGAATGGTTTAGCTGCTGACCTACGGCGGCCGGACCATCCCCTTCCCGTCCGCCCGGCGAAGACGTCAAAGGAAACCCACAATAGAGAATTCGAGGTTGAAAGACAACAGTTTGAGCATAGGTGGATTCGAGTCTCCGTAGTTAGTCTGACTGGCTCATACCTATTGTCGCCCTCCAAGATTGGTCCGACCATTCAGGACGATCTTCTCTTCGGCCGTGAAGTAGTAATATAGTTAATTCCGGGGCGACTTGAATTGAGATTGACTTGCCTCGCCTTGCCTCAAACCAATAGCAGTGTCTCTACCCTGCCTGGCACTGTTGAAGTCTGTTCCCCTCCGCTATCTGGACGCGTCTAGTACCCCGAAAGACACTATCTTTAGACCCGCGCTGCATTACCTAAGGCAAGGTACCACGGATACCAATGGAACACGGGAATCCTCGTAATAAGGTGGACACAAGATACCGCTTCAGACACTGTCCTAAGGTAACTTGGCTTAGTACACTAAGACACCTTACTGCCACTGCCTACCTCAGGTACCCACGTACCTAAGGTAGGTACCTACATTTGCAGCGGCCAGAAACCTCACCTCACCTCAGGGCGCTCGTCCCTCCAACTGGCCAAGCCCAGCTCTCTCGCACCTGGCGTTTTTACCTGGTGCCCCTGTCCACGTCCGCCTCCACGTCCGTTAGAATCTCAAAAAGTTGTCCAGTTCTGTTGTTCACACCAGGTACGGCCGTCCTCCTTTCTTCAGCTGCCATTGATCTACCCGCCCCTTTCATGTCCTATCCTTCGCCTTTACATCTGCGTGCAATCTATCCCGAATTGTCAAATTCTTGGAGATAATCCCGCTGGTCGTTCATTGAACATTGCGTAGCGTGCACTCTCATTCTCTTGTCTCTCTTGTTACCTCCCATCCTTCATCAATCATCTCTTACAAAGGCCCCATACAAACCGTACCCATAAGGTTGGTACCAAATCTAGGCTGGCCTGCCCTTCATCTCCAAAGCCACCTTCCATCTACCTCGTCTCCTTCTCCTCCATCTTCTCATCCCCTACCTCGACGACCAACGCGAAGCAGACGACGACGACGACGACTACGATCGAGACAGCGATAGTAGCGAGTCCCACACACAAGACAGGCCAACGGTTTTTGCCTCTGGCAATTACCATAACCAATCTCTCTCGCAACTCTTGCCCACTCGCTTGCCCATGAATCTCACGAATTGCTCCGAGCTCCCAGCCCTAGACCTACCGAATCCCATCCGCCAATCTTCCCGGGAATACTAGTTCTCCTCCATCGCCATCTCCGGTACTTAGTCCATCGATCACCTTCGAAGCTGTCACAATGTCAGAGAACTACGATGTCGGAACGCGGGCGTGGCAGCCTGATGCTACAGAGGGCTGGGTCGCGTCCGAGGTTGTCAACAAGACTCAAGATGGCTCAAAGGTTAAGCTTGTTTTCAAGCTGGACAATGGCGAGGTACGGTCTCTCTAATGCCCTGGCCAGGCCTACAAACGCGTATTGACGACCAGATAGGAGAAGACGGTTGAGGTCACCGCCGAGGCCCTCCAGAAAGGCGATTCATCCCTGCCTCCCCTGATGAATCCGACCATGCTCGAGGCCAGCGACGACTTGACGAATTTGTCCCATCTCAACGAGCCTGCAGGTACAGTACTTCCCTTGAATTGATACTCTAGCGATGCCATAGCTGACTCTGCGTGCCTCTAGTCTTGCAAGCCATCCGCCTTCGATATGCCCAGAAGGAAATTTACACATACAGTGGAATCGTCCTGATCGCGGCGAACCCTTTCGCGAGAGTAGACTCGCTCTACGTCCCAGGCATGGTTCAGGTCTATGCTGGCAAGCAGAGAGCAACGCAAGCACCGCACTTGTTCGCCATTGCAGAAGAAGCTTTCATGTAGGGCAACCTGTTCTCGCGCTATGTCATGACGGTAGTCACAGAATACTGGCTAACGGTTTGCAGTGATATGGTGCGAAGCGGAAAGAACCAGACTGTTGTCGTCTCGGGAGAGTCCGGTGCTGGAAAAACGGTCAGCGCCAAGTACATTATGCGATACTTCGCAACCAGAGAATCCCCTGACAACCCGGGAACGCGGTCCAAAAAAGGCGCCGAAGCTATGAGCGAAACAGAAGAACAGATCTTGGCTACGAATCCCATCATGGAGGCCTTCGGAAACGCAAAGACAACGCGCAACGATAACTCGTCACGATTTGGTAAATACATAGAGATTATGTTCGACGACAAAACCAACATCATTGGTGCTAAAATTCGCACCTACCTCCTCGAGCGATCCAGACTTGTCTTCCAACCCCTGAAGGAGCGCAATTACCACATTTTCTACCAGCTTGTTGCTGGTGCCTCAGACAAGGAGCGTCAGGATCTGCATCTGCTGCCCATTGAGGAGTTTGAGTATCTCAACCAGGGTAACTGCCCAACGATCGATGGCGTGGATGATAAGGCCGAGTTCGAGGCCACAAAGGCGTCTCTGCGGACAATCGGTGTCACCGACGCACAACAATCGGAGATCTTCAAACTCCTGTCTGGTCTGCTGCACCTCGGCAACATCAAGATTGGAGCCTCACGCAATGATAGTGTCCTCGCGCCGACAGAGCCCTCACTTGAATTGGCTTCATCAATTCTGGGTGTCAACGGAACTGAGTTTGCCAAGTGGATCGTCAAAAAGCAGCTGGTGACCAGAGGCGAAAAGATTACGTCAAACTTGACGCAGGCTCAAGCCATTGTCGTCCGTGATTCGGTAGCGAAGTTCATCTACTCCAGCCTTTTCGACTGGCTCGTCGACATCATCAACCACAGTCTGGCAACTGAAGAAGTCTTGAATCGCGTAATCTCATTCATCGGAGTGCTTGATATTTACGGCTTTGAACACTTCGCCAAGAACTCTTTCGAGCAATTCTGCATTAACTACGCCAACGAGAAGCTACAGCAAGAATTCAACCAACACGTTTTTAAGCTGGAGCAAGAGGAGTATCTAAGGGAAAAGATCGACTGGACTTTCATCGAGTTTTCCGACAATCAACCAGCCATTGATCTTATCGAAGGCAAGCTCGGTATCCTTTCCCTGCTGGATGAAGAGTCCCGTCTTCCCATGGGCTCCGACGAGCAGTTTGTCACGAAACTGCACCACAACTACGGCACCGACAAGCACAAGTTCTACAAAAAGCCTAGATTCGGCAAGTCCGCTTTCACTGTGTGCCACTATGCTGTGGATGTCACCTACGAATCTGAGGGTTTCATCGAAAAGAATCGGGACACCGTGCCTGATGAGCATATGGCGGTCCTCCGTGCCTCGACGAATAAGTTCCTTCGCGATGTTTTGGATGCAGCTTCTGCCGTCCGTGAAAAGGACGTCGCCTCCGCTTCATCGAGCTCAGTGAAGCCCGCCGCTGGTAGGAAGATCGGCGTGGCTGTCAACAGAAAGCCGACGTTGGGAGGTATCTTCCGTTCTTCGCTCATCGAGCTCATGAACACCATCAACAACACAGACGTTCACTACATTCGTTGCATCAAGCCTAACGAGGCGAAGGAGGCGTGGAAGTTTGAGGGCCCCATGGTCCTCAGTCAGTTGCGGGCCTGTGGTGTTCTCGAGACTGTTCGCATAAGTTGCGCTGGTTACCCCACTCGATGGACATACGAGGAATTTGCCCTGCGCTACTACATGCTTATCAACTCGGACCTGTGGGCGTCAGAGATTCGAGAAATGGCCAACGCTATCCTTACCAAGGCACTTGGCACCAGCTCTGGCAAAGGTTCCGACAAGTACCAGCTGGGCCTCACCAAGATCTTTTTCCGCGCCGGCATGCTCGCCTTCCTCGAGAACCTACGTACAAACCGTCTCAACGATTGCGCCATTCTCATTCAGAAGAACCTCCGTGCTAAGTTCTACCGCCGTCGCTACCTCGAGGCCCGCAAAGCCATCGTGACTTTTCAGTCCGCAGTGCGAGCCTACAACGCCCGGAACCAAGTCCAGGAGCTCCGCACCGTCAAAGCCGCAACAACAATACAGCGGGTTTGGCGTGGTCAACGGCAAAGAAAGGAGTACATACGCATCAGGAACGATGTCGTCCTGGCGCAAGCGGCGGCCAAAGGTTACCTTCGACGAAAAGAAATCATGGAGACCCGCGTAGGTAATGCGGCTATGCTCATTCAGCGTGTGTGGCGGTCTCGACGACAGGTCTTGGCTTGGAGGCAATACAGGAAGAAGGTCACTCTTATCCAAAGCCTGTGGCGTGGTAAACTCGCCCGTCGAGATTACAAGAAGACTCGGGAGGAAGCCCGTGATCTGAAGCAGATCTCGTACAAGCTCGAAAACAAGGTCGTCGAGCTGACTCAATCTCTCGGCACCATGAAGGCACAGAACAAGAACTTGTCGTCACAGGTGGAGAATTATGAGGGTCAAATCAAGGCGTGGAAGAACCGCCACAATGCCTTGGAGGCTCGGACGAAAGAGCTCCAGACCGAGGCTAACCAGGGTAGCATTGCAGTTGCAAGGCTGCAGGCAATGGAGGACGAGATGAAGAAGCTCCAGCAGAGCTTCGAGGAATCAACGTCCAATATTAAGAGAATGCAGGAGGAAGAGCGGGAGCTAAGAGAATCTCTGCGCTCTACGAGCACAGAGCTAGACACTGTTCGTCAACAGAGTGCACAGATCGAGAGCGAGAAGCTTTCACTGCGCCAGCAGCTCGCCGAACTGCAAGATCAGCTGGAACTGGCAAGAAGGCTAGCCCCGACCAACGGCGAGCTTGCCAACGGGGCTGTTCAGGCGCCGCCGTCGGCAGCGCCTGGCCTCATCAATCTTGTGTCCTCCAAGAAACCAAAGAGGAGGAGTGCTGGTGCCGAACCCAGCACAGCTGTGGACCGCTTCAGCGCTGCTTACAATCCCCGTCCCGTTTCGATGGCCATCACCAGCACTGCCCACAGACAGAACCTGCAGGGCACAGGCTTCATGCCTGGCGTCGATAACATCGAGCTCGAGCTCGAGACGCTCTTGGCTGACGAAGATGGACTGAACGAGGAGGTCACCATGGGTCTCATCCGTAACCTCAAGATTCCTTCGCCCAACACTAATCCACCACCGTCTGACAAGGAGGTTCTTTTCCCCTCTTATCTCATCAACTTGGTTACCTCCGAGATGTGGAACAATGGCTTTGTCAAGGAGTCAGAGCGGTTCCTCGCCAATGTCATGCAGTCGATTCAGCAGGAAGTCATGCAGCATGACGGCGATGAGGCCATCAACCCGGGGGCCTTCTGGCTCTCCAACGTGCATGAAATGTTGTCGTTCGTTTTCCTTGCAGAAGACTGGTACGAAGCGCAGAAGACGGATAACTATGAGTACGATCGTCTTCTGGAAATTGTCAAGCACGACTTGGAGAGTTTGGAGTTCAATATCTACCACACCTGGATGAAGGTCTTGAAGAAGAAGCTGCAGAAGATGATCATCCCCGCCATCATTGAGTCTCAGTCGCTTCCGGGCTTTGTCACCAACGAAAGCAGTCGTTTCCTTGGCAAACTTCTTCAGTCCAACTCGACTCCCGCCTACAGCATGGACAACCTGCTTAGCTTACTCAACAGCGTGTTCCGCGCCATGAAAGCCTACTACCTCGAAGACTCTATCATTACGCAGACCATCACTGAACTACTTCGTCTCGTTGGCGTCACCGCCTTCAACGACCTCCTGATGAGACGCAACTTCCTCTCCTGGAAGCGTGGTCTTCAGATCAACTACAACATCACGCGTATCGAGGAGTGGTGTAAGAGTCACGATATGCCCGAGGGCACTCTGCAGTTAGAGCACTTAATGGTAATGCGCCCAAAACACGGCCTAATCAAGCAAAGCTAATCCTTTCTACAGCAAGCAACGAAGCTTCTTCAATTGAAGAAGGCAACCCTGAATGATATTGAGATTATTCAGGATATCTGCTGGATGTGAGTTGAATTCCGCTTCATATTCGACAAGGCTGTGTGGAAGTTGCTAACAAAATGTTCCTCCACAGGCTGTCGCCCAACCAGATTCAAAAGCTCCTAAACCAGTACTTGGTCGCAGACTATGAGCAGCCCATCAACGGCGAGATCATGAAGGCTGTTGCCTCCAGAGTCACGGAAAAGAGTGACGTACTGCTGCTCCAAGCTGTCGACATGGACGATAGTGGACCGTACGAGATCGCCGAACCCAGAGTCATCACCGCTCTAGAGACTTATACTCCTTCATGTATGTGAACTGCAACAAGAGTCGTACCTGGTCTGGCCTCACTAACAATACATGAATAGGGCTTCAAACCCCACGACTGAAACGTCTTGCTGAGATTGTGTCTGCTCAAGCAATTGCTCAGCAAGAGAAGCTCGAGTACGACCCCGAGGACGACTTCGAGCCTAACGGCGACCTCGCTGAGGTTGATGAGGAAGACGTGGCCGCATAACCGTGTACAGCCAAACGATATTAGAAGATGACCTTGTCTGTCTTGATAAGTAGACAGGTAGGCAATAGAGCCTGCCCTGTAGAGTGTCCTGTCCTTGTTCTGCTCGCTGGTTTCTACCCAAAAATGACCACTGAAATGATGACGACTATTAAGTGAGCGGTGGCCAGAAATGGGCGGTGGTGTGTCGGTAGCTTCTTTAGGGAGCTATGCCTGGGGATTTACTACGTCAGGTTGTCGCATGGATAATGTAGAAAGAAGCAATAGTTGTGATGGCGTCCAGTCTCGTCGTGGATGTTGCCGATTGAGTGATTAAGAGGAAGTGGAGAAGATAGGGGTTTGGAAAGACCTGTGCAACAACACACTCGCCCAGCCTATCCATGATCGAAAGCTTGGGGGGAACGGCGGCTCAGGCCCTGTAAAAGGAGCGCCCAATCTGTTTCCTGTTCACGTAGCAAGCATTCAAGTGGCAGAGGCGGGATAAGGCTCCGCAATATTGCCAATACGTTATTTCCAAGTGCTTATTTCTCCTCCCACCCCTCAACGATTCAGTGCTCAGAGACTCTTGAACGCACAATTTGAGTACATATCATCTCATCTGCGTTGACAACGCGAACAACATATTCCCAACCTGGGAGCTGGAAGCCGTAGATAGATGCTTTGATTGCGGGCGGCAGGTTGGCGCCCCGCACGTGACCGTCACACACACGCCAACCCTATCCATAAGTTGCTGTCAGAGCGCTGTAATTCATAGCGGGCATTTATGCTACCTTAAGTGGCCCTCATTGGACTCACTTACATGCAATGCAATAAACGAAGCTTTTCGCATCCCGTTTCGTTCTCTATCCTTTTCTACCTCCCTCCCAGCGGTACTCGACTTAACTATAGTCAGCCTGAAACCAGCACTATCCTTATTCGCTCAATTCAAACATCAAAACGAAACTTTTCATCGACATGAGAACGTCACCAAACATCATTGTCACTGGTACGCCAGGCGTGGGCAAGACGACGCACTGCGAAGAGCTCGCCAGGCGTACAGGCCTCAAGCACCTCTCGGTTAACCAAGTTGTCAAAGATCGGGAGTGCCATGAGGGCTGGGATGACGAGTTTCAGAGTTGGATTGTTGACGAGGACAAGGTTTGTCGTTCTGTGACATTCATTTATGGGAACTGAATTCCACCATTGCGAAAATCCTCACACTCAGTATCTCTGTTGCTTAAGTGTTCGCTGTACTGATGAATCTGGGGTCCAGTTGCTCGATGCCATCGAGGGAGACGTTCAGGATGGGGGCTACATTATTGACTGGCACGCCTGCGACTTGTTCCCCAAAAGTTGGATTGACCTCGTTGTTGTGCTGCGTGTGGATTCGACCACACTCTATGATCGTCTAGCAGCAAGGTAAGGGAGTCCCGTGTGGTCCCATGTTGTTCTTCGTCTACTCTTCCCCCCTCCGCCTCTTCCTCTTCGTCTTCGCAAACGAGTGGCAGCAAGGTCGTCAGTAAGGATGATGACGAGAGCTAACACGACTGGGTTGGCTCCATTCAGGAAATATCCCGAGACCAAACTCCAGGAAAATCTAGACTCGGAAATCATGGAGGTATTGCTGCAAGAAGCCAGGGAGGCCTTCGATGAGGAGATAGTTGTGGAGCTTACAAGCAACACATCCGATGAAATGGAGACCAACATTTCGAGGGTTGAGGCATGGCTTGAGCAATGGAAGAAGGATCACTCGTCATGACGAGGTGGATGAGGACGACGGAGTGACGACGCATCGGGGAAAATGACTGCGAGCTTGGTCTCGTTGGGAAATCAAGTCCGTCGCGGGGAGGTGCCAGGGTAAAGAGATCTTCCTAATCGCACTACTTGTGAAAGTGCTGACCATGCTACATGGGAAAAGGAGCTACATAGACATGTTCGTATCCAAAATACCTTTAGGCGTTGTCTCTATGCAAGGTTTGGTTCCTACGCAAGGGTCTGCTTCGCAACAATTCTTATAATTGGGCCCATCACGCGCAAGTCTTCTCCTATGCCTAGGACATCAGACGATGATATATGCAACTAGACGATGTTAGTAAAGTGGATAATGCAACAGAGCGTTATCACATTCTCCGGCATTGAAGCAAAGTGTTCGATGGGGGCACGATGACTCTCTTACATACATAACACGAACGATAATAGTTGTACGTCAAATCCATTGTGGAACACCTCGCACATAGCCTACTCTCCCAACAGCACTTCTTCACTGGACCGGATCTTTAGCCTTTCCCATCTCTTCATCATGGCCACCCCACCGACAGTCAAATTCATCACTGGCAATGCCAACAAGTTGCGGGAGGTCAAGGCCATCCTGGAACCAGCAATCACGGTACAAAGCCACGCTGTTGACCTCGAGGAAGTTCAAGGCACAGTTGAGGAAGTCACCCTAGCCAAATGTCGCAAGGCTGCCGAGACTGTGAGTAGCGGTATTTCAGAAATACCAAGAGTGTAATCCTTGGCATGTTAATTCGTTCCGTTTGATCATCTTCTAGATCCAAGGGCCTGTCCTGGTTGAAGACACTTGCCTCTGCTTTAAGGCTCTCGGTGATCTCCCAGGCCCTTATATGTAGGTTATGTTGGGGCCGACACGCATTCCTGTCTACCCGCCTCGCACTGTCTTCGATGACTAACCGTTCTCACCCAGAAAATGGTTCATGGAATCCATCGGCCACCAAGGCCTAAACAATCTACTAGTAGCCTATGAGGATAAATCCGCCGATGCCGTGTGCACGTTTGCCTACTCGCCCGGTCCTGGAAGCGAACCTCTCCTCTTCCAGGGACGGACTAGAGTAAGCAACAAACATTGTGATTCGTTCCTGAACCTTTGCCAACGTTTTAACTAGGGCAAGATCGTGCCGCCTCGAGGCCCAGTTGACTTTGGTAAGCAGGACTTTGGCACACCGTTGTGTAATCTTTCTAGTGTGTTGTTGCTAACCACATCAAGGGTGGGATGCTATTTTCGAGTACAATGGCCAGACGTAAGTCTATCATCGAGTGTTGGCAGATATTTGCCTCGCTAATGAGTCATCAAGCTACGCCGAGATGGACAAGGCGGCCAAAAATAAGATCTCTCACCGCGGTCTTGCTCTCGCGAAGTTGCAGGACTGGTTCGCTCAACAGCGAACCGAGTGACCGCCATAGATGAGACGCACACGGTCGGGCCAGATCGACTTGATAGCTCTTGAACCGATTCTCAATTCAAGAGCTACTGTGCGCTGTCGAGGTCACAGCGATTCGGCTATCAAGTCTGTGATATGGTCAGCCCGGTCCAGGAGGATCTCTGTGCTCGGACCTACCTCAGGATTTCGAACTCGCGGTATCGTCGAAGGTACTTGGCGCCCCGGCGATATAGCTTGAGAGATTCATCTGCTGATTTATGCTTAAAAGTTTGGCCAATAAGCCGGGCAAGCGCGGGTGGATCGCGAAATACGGGGTCAAAGACGAGCAGATTAGCAGTGCCATGCTTTTGTTTCTCGAAGCCAACGATTGTCAATGAATGGCCTAGACGTGATATTCCTCTTAGCAGACTGTCTTCTTTCGCGTGACGAGAACAATGACTTACCGGCATGCTGAAAGTATATAGGCGGAAGTGACGTGCAGGTTACTTTTGAGCCTTGGCGATGCGCTCCCTGCTTGAAGTACTGCTCGACGGCCATCATCAGCTTGGCCTCAGACTTTCCTTGTTCCTGGTCTCTGAACCCCTGAGCAGTGCATCTGCCTCAACGTTAGCCATTTTCTTACATGGGTTTCAATACAAATACACCCACGGAATTTGAAGGCCAACGAAGAGTGCTTGGGCCTAGGAGCCCTAGAAGTTAGGCCAAAAGTTCAATGATATTGCCGGTTGGTCCCCGTCTTACCTCTGGAGTACCAATATACTTGCGAGTCCCCATGATGCCACCGGTTTCAACTCGCCCCTGGGAATTGATACCGAGGTCCCAGGCTCTCTCGATGAGTTCCTGGATCTCGAATATAGTAGGCAGTCGGCCCTGAAAACGATCAACGCCAGGGGCATTGGCGCCAATGATGTAAGAAATCATCATTTGAATATTGCGATAGCCGCAAAACCCTCCTAGATGTGATTGAGCATCAGCTTTTACCAATGAGTTTTGGCGACTACGATACCTTCTTTCTTGAGCTTTGATACATGCTGCACGGCCGGGTCGCACAAGTAGGCATATTCAGTGGACTTGCTCTGGCTCAAGAGCTGCTCGAGAACAGAAATCACCCCTACCTGCGTCAGTGTCGCCCGACCACGCCGCGGCAGGGCACTCACCGTCGCTCTTGACTTCGCCGCCTTTATGAAGAAGAGACACGAGCCAGTCTGGCATCTGCTGTTCATGCGCATATTTCCCCAACTCTGCTTTCTAAGGAGGATCAGTCGGAATTCTGTGCCAAACAAACCAGGAGGAATTTCTGTACTCCGAGTCGTTTCTCTCCATCCTTGCCTTTCGACTTTGCTGCGAGCGACAGCAGTTTTCCCCATTGCTCAACGTTCGCATTCTGACCTTCGGCAGCGGATTCGCGGTGGCTACTAGAGGCGGCGGCGACAGTTGAAGTATTGGGTCGCCGAGATTGGATGACGGCTTGGGAATTAGGGTTCTCAGCAACTTGGCGGTCCTCTTCTAGGTGAAGGTCCATGTGATAGTCGATTTCTGCCAAAGGAATGCTTTCACTGCATCCCTCGATTGGACAGTCGGCATACTGCTCTCGCGGCGTCCCAGTTGCGGGTGCGAAAGAGTGAGAATTGTCTTCTTCGGGGTGGAAAGTCTCCATGTGCTGGTGTGTAGTCAGTAGACTGTAGAGACATTTGAATAGAACCACACTTACTAGCAATATCTCGAGCTCTCCTCCACCAGCCTTCGCACAAAAGGGACAGATCATGTTTTGCTCCATGGTAACAGACCTCAGCTGGGCCAGGCTAGCCAGGTGGATATCCTATGGAGTCGGAGGCGAGCTGTATGAGATGAAGTTGGAATGAGACAAGTGGAATGACGGCAATACAAAGGCCAGTGCGATGCAACACATACGAACGCTTGCTATTCCGGTGAATGGGCACTTTGATTGATCAACTAAGAGGATCCAGTGAAAGCTTGTTTGCCTCAACGCATTGTTGTATACCTAGTGTTCGACGCTTGACTTGAGATGCTGCACGAATGAGGGCACAAAAATGGTAGATTCCTAGTGCAGGGTTCTCCGAGGGGCCCAAGTGGGAGGTGCTTATCAATGTATGTACTGCGAGAGAAAAAAGGTTCCTGGCTTTGCTGCTTTCAATATTCTCATAAAGCCGACGGGCAGACAAGGCTGTTAGAGGATAGGTATATGAGGCATGGGAGGAATTAGTAGTAGCATGTCGCATTAGACAGTTCCAGAGGCAGCGAGAGCGACCAGACCGGACGGGACTCCACGAGTTGATTTCCTACCTAGCTGATGTAAGATCGGGGGGTCCACAGGTCCAAATTGCGCGCCCAACCAGCAAATGGTCAAGGCACAGTCGGCGCCTGAATTATAGGAAGAATAAGGTGCATAAAACAAGGTAGGCTCCATCCTCCCACCCAAGCTGCCAGTGTCACATCAGGTAGTAAATATGTCAAGTGAGGTATGATTAGTACTTCGTAAGTGATTATTACCATCATTATCGCAAGTAAGTATATTGTCCTGATCCTTTTCCATACGGATACTTCTCTGTTGGCTCCCCCCTGTACTTCGACTCGAACACCCGCATGGTACCCGTAGCACCCGAGAAAGCAGGTTGCTAAGAGGTGCCTTATTGAATGACCATCAGCCGTCCTTCGGAGAGCATTACCTACCCAAGTACTTCACCGGCGTGATTCAATGTCTTTGCGCACTCTTAGCAACCTCAAAAACCGCCACTCGAACCAGACACCTCTGTACCAATTCTCCAGTAGCTACCCATTCACCATCCCAGAATGTCAGCACCAGTCGGGTCGGGTGCCCTTCTAAGGCTGATTTGGGTCTGCGTATAAGTGTAGTTGATCTGGTGGTCTCTATAAACTCCTACATAAGAATGCATTTGCCTCCCTCTGCAGTCTCGCCCGGATTTTGGGCCTTCTCAATCTCGGCAATCAAGATATCAAAGGCCTTCCCGACATTCTCGTTGTATCGTGCGCTGGCCTCCGTCCAACCGCATTGAATCTTCTCTGCTACTCTCTTGCCTTCCTCTGCGCTGACTTGTCGTTGCTCGGGACGGAGATCGCTCTTGTTACCGACGATGACTATAGGGACTGATTCAGTACCCTTTTATAGTTCCAGTCAGTACGTCGCTCTTGCTTGCTCAATCCGCAATAGGGTGTAAGTACCAAGTGATTCAGAATCTTCTCGCGGATTACTTGCACCATCTCAAAAGACGGTAGAGACGACACCGAGTACACTAGCATGTAGCCGTGGATGCCAATGAAATGTTTCGAGTTCAAAATACTGTATTCATCCTACAATTTTCTGTCCGTCAGTCGAGGCACTTGTCCTTTCCCGCGTTCCTGAAACCCTGCATGGCGCTTCCAACTTGTTCTGCTGAGTGCAACCCGTCGTTTCGTCTACTGGTCACTTAAAGCGACAATTAAGGGATGACGTACCTGTCCTGCAGTATCGACAATTTCTGTCGCAAATTCTTGTCCCTTATAGCGAATTGTTTTGCTGAAGGTGTTCTCGATGGTAGGGTAATAACTATCAACGAAGTGGCCGTCTACGAATTGGACCGCCAACGATGATTTGCCTTGTGAAGTGAGTATGTTAGTCTATGGATGCTGCTTTCCAAAACGAGACATGTGCCATAATTAATGCAGACGGGGATAGTCTGGCCAGTCTGTCATGGGGGAGAGAACGGACCGACGGAACGACTGCCAACGATGGCCACCTTTCTGTTCTTTGGCGCCGGCATTTATATGACTGATGAGTAGGAGACGGGGCGAACGAAAGGAAGGGATTGTCGCTAGAGCCCTGTGCTGGGGAGGGAAATGCCCGCACTAATGCTGGATTCAAGAAGTTCGTAGGGAGAACGCTGAAAGGAGGTAGTGTCGTAGTAGAGACTTGACTGTTGCTGTAGTGCCTCTGCTGTGTAATGCGGGCACGTAAGATGCTGCCCTTTATTTATCGAAGACTGGTATTGCCTTAGGCAGTGAATGGCTGCATGAGATGAGGAGCGAGGAGAAAGTTGTTGTCGAAGCAGGTAGGAAGGATAGAGCAGTCGAAAGCACAGGATTGATGTTGCAGCGTGAAGGTGTAGCAAAAAGCGGCGGTAGTAATGGATGTTGATGGAGAGATTGATGGAGGGGGGAATGGAGCGGCGGCATGGCGTATGCAAGTATGGAACCCAGCAACAGAGAGCGGGATACAACGCAGGCACATGCACATGTCTTAGGAGAGGCGGGCTTCTGCTACTACAGGCTAGTACTGACACATTGCTCCGTGCTCAGGTCACTTACCAGCTCTGGCCCGGACTTGGCAGTGGACCCATGCTAAGGCTAAGGGGCCTGCTTACCTTGATGAAAAAGGTAAGGAACTCACGAAGCCAGCCCAGAGAAGAATCCCCACTGCGATATCGTCGCTTAGGTATGCAAGACCGTATAGTCCGGGTTACTGTAGATTGCCATTTTTATAAATTGGCCGCCCCTCGCTTGTATTTGTTTCTTCTTGTACAAGGTAAGAAAGATGCCTCCAATATCCTTCACCACAGCGTGTATAGATTTGGACTACCTCAACACCTTCCCCCGAAGGTTGTGCTGCAAAAACCTTCTCAACCTGGAGAATTCCACGGCCGAAGACATCAGATATCCGTACCCTATCTTTTAACGCCTATAGCCTACTAGATATGTATCAGTGAGTTGCGTCATGGCTATCTCCGGTATGGGGGCTGCCTTACAACGGAAGGGTTCTAATAGGAATTGAATTCAGACCCTGTTTTAGAAAATTTGAGCAATGATTTGTGGTAAGATGAGCTGGATCCAGCTAGACTCAGTCATTTCCATCATCCAATCGAAGGTTATATGATGAGAATTCTTCTAAAGTACCCAACAAGGGGCAACGGAAGCGTCTGGTTCCTCGCAAACCATGCTGCTAGGACACCTGGTTGCCTGCCTATCCACCGGTCTTCACCGCCGCGCCAGTCTGTCAAA